CCATCAACGATGCTTGGACCACAGGCGACCGTACCACCCGTAACGAAATCAAATAAAATGTCACCAGTATTGGCGTTTAAAGCATACAAATGACCGTTATCATCCTTACTACCGAACCAAACAACACCGTTCGCATAAGATACTGGAGCCACAAGTTCTGCATTGGTAGGATTCGCCGTTTGCCACAATATTTTGCCCGTTAATACATCGATTGCCACCATTGCACCCCCTTTTGTTGAGGGTGGACTGTTACGAGATGGTTTTTCAAATATGTAATTATCTTTATGACTATTGGATTGTGCTACGAAATATCGTTTTCCGTCACTGAATAATAAATAAATAATTTTATTGCAATCAAGAATAAATTAAATATTGATTCATTCATGATTGAGAAAAATGGAAAACTTACGTGGCAGAACCGAACATTGAACCTCCTATAAAGTTTTTAAATATTAGATTCGGTTAATGACCTGAACTTCTGACGCTTTTTTATTCGTGCATCAAAAACAAAAAAAAACCTACCACCAATCCATCCCGGTCCAGACTCGACAGACCAAAAAATTTCACCCGTAGCGGCATTTATCGCCCAGGTAACTCCGGATTTTGCGGTTGCTATAGCAAGTAACGGGCAACCAGGCTTGTTACATGCTTTGACAAGCAAAGGTGCTTGAGCAAAATCTATTAAAACCTAGATTAGTATCAAACAAACAAAAATGCAGAAAATTTGACGCACATAATATTTACCGTAATCTGGTCCAGCAGGTTCAGGACAATTTTCCGGATTAGGTACACCAGGCATACAGGATACGGTCCAACTATCAAAAGGGGAAGTTATCACTGCCCAAATCACATCACCATTGTTTATGTCTAAGGCAAGTATCGCGTTAAAATAATTTTTAGGGTCATGACATTTGAACATCTCTTCTTTCGTTTTTGCGGATTTTACACAATCTACGATGTCAGGTGGAACCTAAACACAAGATGGAAAAAACAAGCAAGTTAAATGATATGATCGCAACGCCAATCAAATGTGGAAATGAGCATCTTACCTCATAATTATTACCGGTGGCGATATAAACCAACCCTTTGCTAGGATCAATAGCAGGTGCAGAACCCCACACTGAATTTCCAGAATACAAACCAGGTTTACCATGATTATCAGGTAACATTAAAGTTTTCCAAAGAATTTCTCCGGTCCTTAAATCTAATTTGGCAAAGCTTCCTTGGAAGGTACAGCAAACATAGTCAGGGCTGAAAGCGGCAGCTCCTTCTTCAGTTGAAGAAACTCCAATAAACACACCACCATTATATATTGTGGGGGATTGTGTTATGATAGCAAATGGGTGGTCATCAATCAATGTGCGCCAAATCAATTCACCTTGAAGAGTAATTGCCAACACGAAACCGCCACCTCCATTTAAAGAGTTCTGAGTGCCTAATACAATAATTTTCTCGGTTGGATAAATCGCGAATGTATCCCGACATATCACTTGTGGATCGGCCGGTTGTGGAAGATATTTTTCTGATAATTTAAATTTCCAATTAATCGTTCCTGTTTTGGCATCGACGGAATATAAAAACCCTGCCCAATCAGGAAAATATACGTTATTGTTAAAAGTCACGGGTGTGGCTGAAACCGAATTGTCGGTCGGAATCACATATTTAATCTGAAAAAGAAATAATATTATTGAATTGAGACCGTTTAAATCCAAAAGCACGTGATTATATTTCATTTACCGTTAAAGAATTAACATTATTGGGAGAGATGTTTCTTTCGCCAACGGCATTGCGATTATTATCTAAACCAGGACCACCAAA